CCACTTCTATAAGTCGAATGGAGACTGCGACCATACCCGAGGCCACAACATCTTGGTCTTCACATCTTCATATTTTTGGATGTTTCGCTCATATTCACATTCTTCTTCCTATTTGTAAGCAGCTTAATTCGCTACTTTTCTAATTTACAGGTGAGCTCTTTTCTTATGCTCTTCACGCAGACTGGTCAGGAGGAGTGGTTTGAAGGGTTGTTTGCATGAACAAAACGAATCTTGGAGCTGATTAAGTTTTAAAGTTTCATTTCTACTAGGTTTATTTCTAACAAACACTCATCTATCAGCCAAGAGTAAGAAAAATTACTTCGTTTAAACCGGGATATTTTCCTTATTGTCAACTATATATTGGCTATACTTACCAATTAATTTCTGTTGCTAAACATTTTCCAGCAAGACATGACCATATATTTGCCTTAAGTCTTTGAGACATAAAAACATAATAGCAAATTGATGAAGAAGGTTAGTTCTAATGAAAGCTTGAACTATCATTAGCAAATAATGAATTAATATTTATGGATGTATTCACCTAATTTCATTTAAGGTGATGAAGGACCTTAAACGAAATTGGGTGAACATATCTCATATTACTGATTTAATATTAGTTTCGAAACAATACTTAATGCGAAAAATAAAGTATAGTAGTCGATTGTTATAGAAAATATACGTTTGATTCATCGACAATCCCACCAAATAATATGATATGGCAAAAAGGCCTGGCCTTCCTTGAAAATTCACATTTTCCCTGTGACCCAAAAGGCGCTCGTGGCAGTGTAGCCGAGTGGTTAGCGTGTAAAGCTCCCATCCTACATTTTCGCGGTTCGACTCCTGTTGAGGGTGTTGATAAGACCGATGCGAGGTCAAAACTGCAGTCCACCCTGAATGAGAACAACTTTTGGGAAAGCAAGGCTATGTGAAATTCAATGGAAACGTCAGATCAACTCATATCATTGTGGGAAAATGCAACTCTTCTACCTTAAACAAAATTAGGTGAATACATCTCATATTACTGATTTACTGGTAGTCTCGAAACAATACTTAATGCGAAAAATAATATTTAGTAGACAGACTAATGCTTTCATTGTGGGTGATTCTCCCAATTGATACCGATCTTTTTTCAGACGAACAATTTATGCACCAATTGTTACGAGGCCACATCAATCTCTCAGCACTTTGGCGATGGCCAGCCCCTTGCGTCTTCTGTTATCAGAAATTGTTGGTTTATAAGTAATAAACCATAGAAAAAACTTAATTAGATTTTCTCTTAGTTTGATGAGGCTGATATCGTATATGACAATGGCATTATAGATAGACGTCTGTCTGAGACACTATCTTTAACCATCCTTATTTACCTTTCATTTGTAAACACGCTGAGTATATGATCAAATGTCTTTTCGGCTGGAGAGCTAGCACATGTATGAAACTGTATTTGCATGAATCTAACTTTCGTTACCAAGGTCTTATCTCAAGAAGTTGTATAATAGAGCGTTTAGAAAATAATATGTTCCTGTATAACAAGTAAGGATGTAAATTACGTCAGGGAAGAGCTCATCTCCTTCAAGCAAGTCTTCCCTAATTGTGCAGTCCACGGTCCTACTCTGGAAATGATGATGCATATTATAGACTCCGGACAAGGTGCGTTCCTTTAAGTCTTCCTACCAATATGACCGTGTTGCGAAAACAAGGTCAAACAACTTCTATACAACGAAAGGAGACTGCGACCACACAAAAGGCCACAACATCTTGGTCTTTATACCTTCTTTTAACACTGTTTTTATCCCCCCCTATCTTACTAATTAGAATATCTTTTTTGAAAGAAGGCATGACGGCAAAATTAGGACATGGGGAAAGGTCTCAGTCAGTCTATCTTTGACTACATCGTGTCTAACTGAACATTTATTCCTCAGTAGAGAGATATTATTCTCAATAAAGCCCAAAGGAAAATTATTTTCCAGGAATAAATTTGTCAGCCGTTCCAACCCTTTAATTAAATATTTGCTATCCGCTAACCTCATACTTCTAATAATCATTGACTTCAAAATTCCAACCTTAATCTTGTTGGTTGGAAAGAAAATTAAGCAATGAGCCAACAACTGTTGGCCTCCTATAAATATCTCATCGTAACTTATCCTCTTCTCTAACGATGAGAAAATTCAGAAAAGTTAAGGACTTATTCTCTTCCATTTCCATTGTAAACCTAATGTTCCTTTCACGGTGGTTGAGTCAAAGTAGGAAACTTACGATGAGGCCAGATGACGAAATAGTCATCTATGTAGCTAACCCACAATTTGGGGGTTAGTATTGCCTCTTGCAGGAAGTGTTCCTCCAGTCTTGCCGTAGAATTGTTCGCTAAAATGGCATCCAGGCTAGATATCATCGCTAGTCCTTGTATTTGCTCGTATAACTTGCCATCGAAGGTAAAATATGTGTTATTCATGGATAGGTTAATAAGTCTAATTATGGAAGCTACACTTAGCCTTATTCCTTATCTTGTCTCTAGATTCTCTTCAAGAGTTTGTATCAGATCTTGAATAACTCCATGAACAGCAAAGTTTGCGTACATAGACACAAAATCAAAACTTACTAAAATATTCTCTTTTGAAAGTATCTGTTGATCAGGCAATTTCACAAAATCATAAGAAATTTTAAATGAATATAGCCAAAAATTGACAGAGTTCCTAAGTTTTATGCAAAAAAAGTGAGATTATATGCATTACGATTCCTTTATTATTTACAATTAATCTTAGAGGGCCACCCTCACTGTGAACCTTAGGGAGACCGTAAGCCGTGAGGGCATTGCATATATCAATGGAGTTCTGAATTCATTTTCCACCTCTCCATTTCACCATTATTTACGCATGCATCAAGGGCAGCTTTTAGCCTAGTCTTTAGTCTTTCGGTTGGGTCTCTCAATGAAGGTATATACGTGTCATTGTCATTTAAATGAACTAGCATTTTCTCTACATAACTTGACCTACCCATGACTACAACTGCTCTACCTTTGTCGGCTTTCATAATTATTAGATTATTAGCACATAGATATCTAGAAACCCTATTAAGATGACAATCTTTCTTTGGTGGTATTATATGGCCAAAATAAGGGATCACCACCAGTTCAATACTATTCCTTACCTCTTCAGGCAATCTATCAGATAAGCTAATTAATTCAATAAGTATTACCAGAGAATGGCTTATCTTATTTAGAAGAGCAAAATTCAATCCTCTTTCTAATAAAAGTACTACATTATCCTTCAGAGTTGTACTAGATAAATTGATTACCTTATCCTTTCACAGTTTGCTACAACCATGGTTAGTACGACTTGACTTAGGCGCAAAGTTCCTCGACCTAATTCTAATTCCTAAATTCTGGAGCTTCTTATCGTATATCCGACGCGCCATTTTGTCAGTCGCCTCTTCTAACCCATATCTTGAAACTTAAGGAAATCCACATTCTTCAATATTTCAGAAAGGAATTGCCCATGCCTAGTTTTGGTTCTAATTAGTTCATGTAGTCTGTTAATGTTTTCGAATAGACCAGTACAACTTTGGGTATTGGCAGTCAGGGAGCTTGGAAGACGAATAAGCAAACCGTCATAGAAATTTGGCGCAATGGCCAAAGTGTACCAGAAATTCACTTGAGATGTCGCATGCGGCCAGAGATAGCCGTCCACAGTTTGCCCTGGTAACACGAGTTTAATCAAGGAGACGATCCGTGAAGGCAATGCTTGATATCAGAATCAGAGCCCATGCGCTTTTCTCTGTGAGGCGGCAGTGTACGTACTTCTAATGCCTTGAGAAATAGCGCCTGGAATAAAACGCACACTGGGACTTGAACCGAGTGAAATCGGCTAACCAGAAAGATATGGAACGGATCTACGAGACCATGAGGGAGATCCGGACTTGAGGCCTGAGTCGGAGTAACCGATCGAATGAGAGGGGGCCAGGGTAAATAGCAGGTGTGATGAGGCCAAATTTGCCAAAAATGGGTACACATTTCGACCAGTGGAATGTAACAAGTCTGAAGTTGTGGTAGGGCGGCAGCTGGATAAGAGGGTAAAGAGTTGATAGATGGACCAACACAGAAAGAGTTGTGATAGTTTAACCGTTTTGGCAGAGTGCCTGTCGAGGAATTGACTTCACTTGTCTCTTTGACGAGTTTCTGGGCTCGGTGCGGCTAGAGGCAACATACAGTGATGATGCCGACTACAATGCCGACGCAGCTCTAAGAATGTACCAAGTCCACGGTCTGATGCTGGGAATTATGATAACTACTATGGCAGAGGACTTCGGACAAGGTGCGTTCTATTAAATAGCCCTGACAACAAGACCAAGTTGCCAAAGAAGACCAACCCACTTCTATGAGAGAGAAAGCCTAGGAGAATTTATAATGCTGATGAATGTGATCGACGGAAATCACAAGTTCACCATAGAACTAGGAAAATATGGTTGATTACCTTTTCTAGATGTCCTAGTTAGGCAAGTTTAAATCAAGCTAGATATATGAATGTGTATAAGAGACCCACAAATACGGAGTCTCTTTTAAATTTTTTTTCAAACCATATTTATGCGGTCAAACTGGGAGTTATGAAATTCATTATTATAAAAAGCCTTCGTCTAGGGATGCCCACTTTGGCCATTGCGCCAAATTTCTATGACGGTTTGCTTATTCGTCTTCCAAGCTCCCTGACTGCCAATACCCAAAGTTGTACTGGTCTATTCGAAAACATTAATAGACTACATGAATTAATTAGAACCAAAACTAGGCATGGGCAATTCCTTTCTGGAATATTGAAGAAGGTGGATTTCCTTAAGTTTCAAAATATGGGTTAGGAGAGGCGACTGACAAAATGGCGCGTCGGATATACGATAAGAAGCTCCAGAATTTAGGAATTAGAATTAGG